GACTTTTAAATCTAAGCTTATTGGTCCGATGACTTTTCGTCCGTCTGCCGTACACATGTGTGTCCAATGACATACTTGGCCAGATTTGATGAAATGCACATGAATTACTACAAAAGTTGTTTAAATGGTTTCGGTTGCAATCTGGGATACGAAAACCAAAAATACAGATTTAAAAAAAAGGCAATATAAATCATTCTTCTCCCGAACCAAAAAGCATTCGCTGTGAAGCATTTTGCAAAGAAAGATCAAATCATGACCCGTGTTACTTGACATGTATTATAATTATAAATCTCTGCTCACTTACTAGTCGCCCTTTTACTACAAAAAACATGAAACACTAACATATATTTCGCCTGGTAGCGAAGAATGTGTTAACTATGTACTGCTAATATTTGTGCACATTATATGTAATCATTAAAATATATGCAATCATTTCTTATTGAAAAATTTGACTAAGACTTTATAGAAAATAAATTTCTAATAACCTCCCTTTATTTACATGAAATGTTAAATACGGTAATATCTTTATAAATAATGCTTTTTGGAAGTCAAAACTTTTGTTTAGATACATGAAGTTTCTAGGTCATGTTTGAATATTGGTTAGCTGGCATAAAAGATACTAGGTCACACGACCCAACTTATGGAAAAATATTTTTTTTATTCTAAAGGCAATATTTTCATCCAAAATATCTTGAAAATTGTCAGAAAGGTTATTTTGATGATTTCTAGCTTAGCTTTAACCTATTACCCCATTAGCATTTTGTGAAAAATGGCTGTTTTCATTGAAAAGTCTTCCGTTACAAGTTCAAGTTGCTATAAAACTATAAAAACTGCTTCAATACTAATCAAACTTGGCACAATTGTTGACTGGACCATTGCCTTTGTAACAACATGCTCAGTCTGAAATTTCCTGTTACCATGGCAACTAGGGGACATCTCAAAATTGCCAAAAATCACTATTTTGCGTTGATTTTTTCCATCAAAATTGATTTCAAAGTGCTGCCACTTCTCAATGGATTGAGATAGAGTCAAAGGCTTTTCAGCATTGGTTACACGTTACCTTATGATCGATCTGGGGCCATTTTTAGCCTCCCACAAGTCCAAAATTTTCTTAGCGATGAGGGGGACTCCGCCCCCTTCAAACCACCCAAACAGAAGGGGCACATCCCCCTTCTGGCAACCCCCTGATGTATTTTTTGGATGGGGGGCCGCGCCGAAAAAGTGGTCAATTTTTTAAACGACATTTCTCAAACGAAAACAAGTGTTTGGGGGCCTAAATAAGGCATTTTTTCACCATTTGAGAAAGCAAAAAGGGGGGGGGGTAAAAAAGGCGTAGAAAGGCGTATATATCTGGTAATGGGTTAAAGGAAAATGATGAAAATACCTGAAATTACCTAAAAACGCGTTTTTCCATGTTAAAACATGACCTAACATATTATTTTGAAGAAAAATTGCTGTTTTGTATATTTTTTTATTTTTTTCATTAACCCATTACCCCATGAGCATTTTGTGAAAAATGGCTGTTTTCATTGAAAAGTCTTCCGTTACAAGTTCAAGTTGCTATAAAACTATAAAAACTGCTTCAATACTAATCAAACTTGGCACAATTGTTGACTGGACCATTGCCTTTGTAACAACATGCTCAGTCTGAAATTTCCTGTTACCATGGCAACTAGGGGACATCTCAAAATTGCCAAAAATCACTATTTTGCGTTGATTTTTTCCATCAAAATTGATTTCAAAGTGCTGCCACTTCTCAATGGATTGAGATAGAGTCAAAGGCTTTTCAGCATTGGTTACACGTTACCTTATGATCGATCTGGGGCCATTTTTAGCCTCCCACAAGTCCAAAATTTTCTTGGCGATGAGGGGGACTCCGCCCCCCTTCAAACCACCCAAACAGAAGGGGGCACATCCCCCTTCTGGCAACCCCCTGATGTATCTTTTGGATGGGGGGCCGCGCAGAAAAAGTGGTCAATTTTTTAAACGACATTTCTCAAACGAAAACAAGTGTTTGGGGGCCTAAATAAGGCATTTTTTCACCATTTGAGAAAGCAAAAAGGGGGGGGGTAAAAAAGGCGTAGAAAGGCGTATATATCTGTTAATGGGTTAATAATGGCTCATCCATGGTCAAAATCTAGTTCACACAGAGAAAACATGGAAAAACTTTGTTATCACCTTAGAGGTTAAATTTTTAGCCCACATATCCTGGAAATTGGTCAGAAAGGTTGTGGAAAATTGGCGTAGCTTGATTATTTGATATGACGGCCTTCAAAACAGTTTGTGTTCTTGATAGCCGGAGAAAATGCAATCGCCAGCCTTTTTTAACTTTTTTGCCCCCAAAGGGCGGCATATAGTAATCGCACTGTTCGTCCTTCTTTCCGTCCATCCTTTCGCACTACCGAATACGGTTAGAGGACCATCTAACTGTAAACAGAACAAAAGAGAACTGAAACAATAGAGGGAGGGTCCAATGGACCTATATTTAACAAAGGATATAATAAAATTAATGGCCATATATCCAAAGTCGATCGCACGTCCGTCCGTCCGTCCGCCCATCCGTCCTATAATATTATATATATAATATATGATTTTCCGCTTGGATTTTTTTGCACAGTTATGGCCCCTTAATGGTCATTTTGTTTTTACCTAAATAAGCTATTCAGCGTTTCATCTCCAAAACCTAAACGGGGATGGGGGATGAGAATTTCAGTGAAACTTTTCAGGATTGTTTGTCACCATGCCCAGTTGTGCATGGTTTCTTAATTCTCCGCTTTGTATTTATTGGCCCAGTTATGGTCCCTTAATGTTGTTTTCAGTGAAATAAGCTTGTTCGCGCTTTAAAACCGCTGGGGGATTTCAGTGAAACTTAATAGGGTTGTTCGTCACCATGCCTAGTTTTGCATAGCATCTTGATTTTCCGCTTAATTATTTTGGCACAGTTATGGCCCCTAATGATCATTGTTTTAGTAAAATAAGCTTGTCCAAGCTTCATCTCCAAAACTGCTTGGAGAATTTTAGTGAAACTTCACAGGATTGTTTGTCATAATGTCTTGTTTGCATAGTATCTTTATTTACCACTTGAATTTTTTCACAGTTCGGATCTTATGTCAAAGCTTCCTTTCGGGGACATAAGTTACTTTTCAGTGTTCTTGTTTAACACGGTAAAGTTACCTCTGGAATATAGAACAGGATGTTTTGAGAGTACCGGAGGATGGGTAAGAGGGAACAGTTATTATGTATGCAATGGATATTTGACCCAGTTGTCCATTTAAGGTTGTTCTAACCACGTGATATTTTCAACTGTTCATTTGAACGAAAAAAACCTTCGGGATCATTTTGTGAAAAACATAGTTGGACACTGTAAACGTACATTTTCTAGACATGTGCACAAGAAACAAACCGTTGTTCTTTCGACATACGGACCGTTCTTTTTAGAGTTATCTACATACGCCGTCTGCTCATGCTAAAATGGTGTTTGTTGTTATTTTACTTTAGGAAATATTCGAAAATTGATAAAACATTTTTCATTCAGGTCGAGTTGTTGACAAGACGATATAAGGCGTTGGTCTCGTCTTTTGCAAAAATATCATCTAATTTAAAATGAAAATATTCATTCTGATACAAGAAAATCTTCAACTACAAAACTATTCAACTTCAAATAAAATAAACTCTATATCATTAAAAAAACCTAGAATATCAAATCTAATGGGATAAAATTTAAAATTAAACTAACAAATAAAGGTTGTACCTAAAATATTATGGAAAATATTTTTTTTTTTTGCATAAAGAGGTTTGATTAACGTAAATACTTCACTAAAAAGACTTGTGAGAAAAAGACATGTGTGAACAAAATGTGCTTATTTTGAACTAAACTTTTGAAAATTTTCTATTAACTTACCATGTTTTCTTACATTTAACATAGGCTTGCAAAGAGTCATCAGTAAAACGCATCTTAATATTACCTTACTTTTATAATCTCGCCTGAAATTATGCATGGAGAGGCACAGTGTGTATTTCTCAAACAGCGAAGCAGGAATATGGCCATATGGCATATTCTGTGTCTCCGGCAAAACAAACAAAGCCTACAAACAAACATGAATTTTTATTGTACAAGAATAAAGTACGCAAACAATATTTGTACTCGTAAGGTAAATTCTTTCCAAAGTTCTGGAACATCATATTTAACATCATATACATTTATTTTTTAATTTTGTAATTTAACACCTGTAGACAGTAGAATTTCTTAACAATATGACATGATAAAAACAACTTTTCATATGTTTTTAGCTCACCTGTCACAAAGTCATATGGCACTTACGAACTTTCGCTATATGTTTATGCAGTATTTCGATAGAGCGGAAGTCAGTGCGCGAGCATGCGCTTTGCCATATCTCGTTCAGTTACCGCTCACGTTTTAAACTCGGTTGCCATGAAGCGACAGTAAGTGTACGTGGCTTTTACAACTAAAATATCAGACAAACACATTAAAACAATACATATAAACTACACATAGTTGTTTTCCATATTAATATTTTGCATTTGAATTTGATAGACAAACAAATATCTCAATATTCTTACCGATTTAATGTATTGTTTACATGTGATGACAGCAACGCTGTGTGTTAGATTACTTTCGGTTCAGAAAATTCATTTGTTTACCATCAAAACTCATATGTTTACCATAGGAACCATATATAGATAGAAAGCAAATTATACAAAGGTAAAGAAAAAATTGTCTGCTTCTTAACAAAAAATCGAATAAATAAATACAAAGTCTTTTTAAAAGGTCCCTTCTTCGAGTTCAATTGAAAGGGGAATAATTTGGTGGAATTTTAGACAGGGAAACAGGGAGTTATCTTTCATGGCAAGGGAATATGGCCGACTGAAATTTAGCAAGCAAGTTTGTAAGTGTATGGTGAGCTTTTGTGATCGCATGGTCCTCTTGTTTTTTAATGCAAATGAAAAAATGCCATCAATGATCTATGATTTCTTTGCAGAATATTTTCAAATCACAAATCATGTCGACAAGTGTAGACAGATCCAAACCAGTAATTCCACCAAAGCCTAAAGAAATATTAAACAAGGCTACAAAGTCTATACAAGAAAACTCTTTGATAAAACAAAATGCCGACAGTAATGTCCTGAAAAAACGTCCAAAAGTACCTCCAAAACCAGTATTGAAATGTACATTGGATAAAACAACTGCCGTCACTGGCTCCAAATGTTTACACTCACCAGCAACAGATGGAAGTGTTAAAAAACGCCCATCAGTACCACCAAAACCAACACTTAAGCTTAAAACTGATAGTAAAGATGATGAAGCAAACTTCACCAATTTACAGGAAGATGCTAAGAAAAACGAAAGTGTACCAGGACCTTCAAAACCGGTGCTTGGATCAATTGTGTCAGAACAGATTACAGACTGGACTGCAAGTCAGGTAACGATACCGATATTTCATATTGCTTACATTAATAGAACGCGGGTAACATTTCTATATTTTTTTATTTGATAATTGTTTCATGATTGACGTACAAAATACACAAAATACTGCTTATGGTGCATCTAGGTAGTTTTGTTTTTCATAAAAATGTACATAGAAGAAATTAAAGTTGTTTTTTTTCCGTAAAAATACAAGATATGTTTTCTTCGAGTGTAATGAAAATAAAAAATACATGAGTGGCGAAACCCACAAGTGAAATACGATAATTTAACATATTAATCATGTGTTTAAGGAAGAAAACTTGTATTTTCTGTTATAATTAACATTTTTTCCCCTAGCATTTCATTTTGAAAGACTTTCCCTAGTTTGTGTTTTGGCTGAATTTAAAAGAAAGTAGTCCGACAACACACCAGTGAAAATACAGATATATACTTTACTGCAGTAAAAAAATACAATTTACAGTGAAAATATGGGAAAAAACGCCCACTTTTTATGTCGTCAATATTTCTCAATATTTTATTTACAAATACTTAATACATATCAATATATTCACAGGGTGAAATCTGCGAAATTTTAGACGACAGAAAAAAGGAATTTTGGGTTGCGAGAAAAGGTGATGGGTAGGCATTTATTCACATTCTTGTACTTCTCAGCAATTTAGCATTTAAATTGAGGACAAAATACAAATTTTATTGTCTGTTTTTATATGTCCGACAAAAAGATTGGCATAAATTGGTATGCACCTGGTAGTCCGGCCGTCTGTATATTTTGCACAGATTGAAAAAATATGAGACTGAAATAATAATCATAATGAGACGTTGTGAAGAGGGCAGGTTTAACCTATTCTGGTCAAGGTCACACTTACATAGTCATTATGTATGAACTCCAACGTTACGTGTTCGCTCTATGATGGGATGTTATTGTGGTGAAAATTTAATAATGCCTGATGACTGTTACATATAACTCAATAAAACTGCTAGTGTGCTACTGGTTAAATCAATGTTCGTGCCGGCACATTAGTCATACTTGTATTAAGGCTATGATGTCTATATCATATTTTCATGTAGTTGAGTGGCAGTGTAGTATAAGCGTATTAGTATTTCATCATGTCATGGCTATCGTGGCTCATTTATAAAGCACCCAAGAACAAAATACACGAAGTGATCAACCAATATAGAAGACATTTAATCTAGTTATTTGCAAATCACATTGTGACAACAGGAAAAAACACTCGAATACAATACAATAGTATAACAACATACAAGGGTTGAACCTTCGCTAAAATATTAAACAAGTAAATTAATAATATGTAAATGCTTGTATTTGCTGAGAAAGTTAAAATTCATTATATCTTATTTCAGTCCACATTAATTATGTATTTGAATGTATTTTCCTTTGGATGTAATATATTAAATACATTTGTTACTGACAATACAAAGATTACTACCTCTGTTTTTGTTTACATCTGATGTCACGTGGTTGAACTACTTACAATCCGAGTTGTTCCGACTTTGATTTAATAAGGGCTGATTGAATTTGGAAGAGCCGTTTTGCAACCCGTTTTTGCTCGATACAGTGTAGAGCGTTTTTGCAAGCTCCGCCCAAACGGCAATGAAGCGCGGAAGAAAATGATAGAATAAAATTTGTTCTCACAGTGTAAAAAATCAAAGCAAATTATTAGTCCTATAAATTTAGAAACTTGAAACTTGAAAATATTTAAATAAATTAGAATTTTGTTTGCAATTTTGGATTCTTTAAAACCATAAATTTGCGAACTATTTTCGGACAAGATCTCTTTGGTATTTAAGGTGTATTACCTCCGCTATGTAGTTAACTGCAAACGTAGGGCCGTGTTCAAGCCTTAGAAGTGTCAACTTTCTTTTTCTTTAAACATTATGTATGTATCTCTCTTATATCTTTCTTCGAAAGAAAAAAGTGTTTAACTTTGATTATATAATTAATACAAAAAATGTATAGGTATTTATTGGCTAAATAATTCTAAATCTTATAGCAAATATGGTATCTCATATTTCTAAAGTCTAATAAAAACAAAACTACACGGTAAAGGTATTTAATATTCTACCAGATCACCCAATATACATTTGAAAAAAGGAAACTTTGAAAATAGCCCCTCATTCACATTTGGTTAGTTTTAAAGATTTTTTTAATTAGGCTCTCTAAGTAGGAAAATGGCCAAACACGTGTTTAAAATTAGTGGGGTAGGGTAACATGTTTATACATTTTTCATAAATTGTGAGTAGTTACATTCATTTTTCTTGTATGGATTGTTAGCTGAATGTTATTTGCTCTTATTTATAATTAATTGGAAAAAATTGTTCATGAGGTTGATATTGTTAATTATGTAAAGATTCGTCATTTCTGAAAAAGGACCCCTGTAGTGCCCGTCAGGGAGGTCATACCTTAAATCGCTGGTAGATTATGTTCAGTTTTACATTGAACTTGATTTTTGAACATTTAGATCTCTAATGGTAATACAAAGTTCTTTAATAGTAAAACAATAGGATTTCCAACAATGAGGTTGTATTTGCACATAGTTTACATATATACCTTAAATGGAATCAATTTAAGAGTGCAGCCCGTTTTTGTGAACACGTATATACCCAAAAAAGATTCTATATAACAGCTAGGGTAACCCGTTTTTGCACATACCCATACACCCTAAAAGATTTAGTTTAAGAGCGCAAACCGTATTTGTACACATAAATGTACACTAAATAGTTTCAGTATATTAGTGCAACTCGTTTTTGTACACACCTATTTACCCACAAAAATTAATTGAAGAGTGCAATCTGTTTTTGTACACATCTATATACCCTCGGGGGGAGATTCAATTGAAGAGTGCAACACGTTTTTGCGAGCACCCGTATAGCCTAAATAGATTCAGTTTAAAAGTCCCGTTTTGTACACACCCATGAGTTCCACCCATGTTTGTACACACCTATATACCTAAAGTAGAAGATAAGAGTACAGCCCGTTTTTGCACACACCTGTTATGCATACCCGTTTTGGAACACACCTTAATACCGTTTAGAAATTAAATGTAAGAGTGCAACTGTTTCTTTACAGATGTACATACACTTGATAGATACACTATCAGAACGCAATTATTTTTTTCAAGCATAAATTGAATCTCTTTAAGGTATATAGGTGTGTGCAAAAACGGGTTGCACTCTTATATAGAATCTATTTTTTTTTTATAAAGTTGTGTACAAAAACGGGTTGCATCTTAAACTGAATGTATTTAGGCTATATAGGTGTGTACAACAACGGTTTGCACTCTTATATATAGAATCTATTTTGGATAAAAAGGTGTGCACAAAAAGGGTTGCGCTCTTAAACTGAATCTCCGTTGGGTATATAAGTGTGTGCAAAAACGGGACTCAGGTACACGTGCAGTAAAATTGCTAAAATATAGAGAAGGGTTCAAGAGAAAAATAAATAATATAAACACAGGACAGAGGGTTAAGGATTAATTACATTATGAAGTCTTTACAGACATTATGGTTATCCTGTAACCTACCATCCCATTTTTGATAAATCTATCTATTGCATCAAAATGTGACGTCAACATTACTTACTGCCTAATTGAATCTTTCATACTTTGTTGTCGCATCCTAATTATTTTTATCGTATGTTGAGTGACACCGTTGAGCCCCAACATGTTTAAGATATAATTGTTATACAGTGTATTATCATTCTGTCAATTCGAATAATGATAAAAGCATAATGGCTAACCGAGTCGGTAATTTTATGTAATTTTGCTGATTTTAATGCTACCAAGGGATCACTTTTTCAACATATCAAAAAATCAGGTGTCAAGTGGAGTTTGGCAGCCGTGAAAATTGCCCCATACTTCACTTCAGTGTTGTTATATTTTTCTGGCCTTTCTGGATCATTGATTCAAGCACAAGTGTTGAAGAGCACAAGTGTTGAAGATTGAGTGTTGAAGATTGAGTACCGCTCAAGCCGGTGCTTAGGGAGCGTTAGGGATTTTGCACTTTTTCCTTACCCTCCTGTACATGACTCCATCAAAACGAGTCTGCAATTTTCATGTAATTTAATGCTTCCGAGGAATCACTTTTTCCACGGAATGGATCAATTTTTTTCTCAGATGTTTAGACAGCTTCTATCAAGCATGGCATCTTTGTCAACAAGCGGTAAAGAATGATTATACAAATAAATTCAATATAGGAGTTTCATTGAGTAAATGTAACAGCCATTAGGTATTGTGTTATTTTAGCCTATGTAATATTTCATACTCTTCTTTGCAGAAATGATACTTAAAATCAGACGATGTAAAAAAATTGCATGTTCGGGGTTTCTCACATCAAATTGGCTCTGTCCGAAAGTTACTTGACTTACGAGGTATAATCAAAAAGTTCTCGTCGGCCCGATATACTTCAAGCCACTTCACTGACATTTACACACGATGCGTCGATACCGATATCTCATTGAAGATTAATGACCGAGTCACACGTGGTTTTACACAGATAAAGTAACATAAAATATGATAAACAAGATAAACAAGGAAAAGGCGGCGTTCAATAAACGCAAACATCACACGACCCAGCACCAAGAACCAGCGGCAAGGATCCAAGGAGGACCCCAAACAAAAACAGGACAGGGCCAAGGGAGAGCATGGACAGGCTTATCCCTAAAATGTTACATAAGAAATAAAACACACTAAAACGCGATTAGTAGAGGGGTGTGTCATTTAGACCAAAAGGAGAAAGTTAAAATCAAAGCCGTCATTAAGTACCTCTGTAAGAAAGGGATGTCCCCCAAGGAAATCCATGAAGACTTCATGGATACACTTGGGAAGGAGTCCTCTTCCTATAGCAGTGTGAAAACAATGGGCTGCTGAATTTAAGAGGGGCAGGGGAAGCATTCGAGATGATGAGCGGCCTGTGCGTCCAAAAGAAGCCAACAACGATGAAACTGCCGAAGCTGTGCACGATCTGTTAATGTTCGACAGAAGGCAAGACCTGCGAAGCATTGCTAGGGTAGTGGGTATAAGCTTCAGTTCAGGCAATTCTGACTGATGTCTATGGCATGCCAGAGGTTTCCGCTAGATGGGTCCCCAGACAGTTGATTGACGACCAGAAACGGACCAGGCTTGACACTTCAAGATATATTTTGTCTCGTTACGAGGATGAACCTGATTTTATCTACTGGGTCGTAACTCGGGATGAAACATTGGTCAATCACTCCGATCCAGAATCCAAAAACCAGAGCATGCAGACGAAGCACACTGGCTCCCCCATCCGAAGAAATGCAAGAGGGTGCCATCAGCAGGGAAGATGTTGCTTCAATTATTTGGGTTAGTCAGGAGATAATCATAATTTACTATCTTGAGCATGGTCGTACCATTAACAGTACGTACTATGCAGACGAATTATGACGTCTGCGTCAAGAAATTGGGCGTAAAAGGAGGGGCAAACTGACTTGGTCCCCTCTTACTTCTACCTATTTATGAAACTGAAAACCAAGCTTTGTGGTAGACGTTTTGGAAGCAATGAAGGTGTCATGGAGGCGGTTAATGATTTCTTTCAGTACCAAAATAGAGAGTTCGATTTTGAAGGGTTCAACAAGTTAGAGCGCAGGTGGGCAAAGTGCATTGATGTAGCGGGCGATATTGAAAAGTAAGACCATTAGTCGGGTTCTTTGACTACCGAAAGTACATGGGCCAAGAACTTTTTGATCAACCCTCGAATTTTGACTTAAAATATAAAAGCACGTTTAAATCATATCATATGAAACTACAATGCCAAGAGCTTAGCTATTTGGCATGTAGCATAGCCCTGTGGTCCCCAAAATAACTGATATTTATCATACCCTTTCGTTCATCATTGACCTCGCACCCCCTATCAATAGGTTGATTTAAAATAGAGTAAAACAGAATTTCTTCAGAACGTCCAAAATGGAAAAACTTAGATTAGTCAAGCAGTTCATGGACGGTATTGGAAAGTGCAAGCTATCGCCCATGTCCTTAAGAACTGGCTTAAACAATCCTCAACATTTGTACATGACAATTTTGACAGTTTGAATTTAGGAACATTTGCAGATGTGTTCACTTTATGTCCTATTTTGTGAAACTACATTGCCAAGAAAATTTAAATTTGCATGTAGTATTGCTTCGTTTACCTGTATTCATGACCCTAAGTAAAAAATTGTCCAACCATGCGGTTTTCTTTGTTTATATAGATTTATATAAAGAGCGTGTTTTGAGTTTGTAATCCTAAACAATAAAAGTGTAGAACATAGAAATTCAGCATGTAGAATCAATTGGAAGTTTTTATTAAAAAAGTATGTTAACCTTGGTCACATCTAATTACAATGCCCCGTGCGTATATATTTAGCACTTTGCATTGCTTAGTAGACTTCTATAAGAGTTTTATGAATCTTGCTCTAGGGTCAAATATTTTCCAATCAAGGGGCCGTTAAGTATTATAAAATAGAGAAAAACAGAACCCCTAAGGAAAGTCCAACATTTTTATAAGGATTATTAAGATTTAACATATTTTTTTTCGTATATGAGACTCTTGCCTTATTTAAATATTATTTTTGATTACGCAAACAAGTTTTCGTACGGGCGAATACTGCTCTTCCAAACAGTGCTTTTGTTTTAATTTTTTATTAACATTTTTGTCGAAAATGATATGTAACCTTTTTTATTTTCTATTTAAGAAAAATAGGTCAGATTCCTTCGAGGTTTGTCAGTAGTAAACCAGAGCTTGACATGAATCCGTAAGTATAATTCGTTAACCATTTTTTAATATTTTTGTACAAATTATTCTTTTTTACAAATCTGAATTACTGTGCACTGCAAATCTCTCTGATTTGTACCCTGGAGAAATATATGGTAATCATATAGCCTGCATTTTTGATGTCAATTATGTATCCACATTAGTATTCGGAAGAATATGATTCAGATGTCTATCTTCGTTATCTGGGAGGGGGCGAGGGATACATAAAAAACTCGTACCGTTTATGTATAGACAGAATCAGAAATTGACAATATCAATGATATTTTATCAATAAGTAATATTTATGTGCAACATAGGTGAATTTATTTGGCTTAGGCATAAGTAGTAAAAGTGTCTTTTTCATCCAAATTTATTCCGAACTTACGTAATAATTAAAAGTTGGTACGCATTTTGATCTGCAGTTAATATTATAACAGCAAAAACTACTTTCTTCGATTGTAATATGGATGTATCTAAATGTAAGTCATACCCGTAAAACATTTTTATTTCCACTAATATTTAAGATTCTCAAAAGTATGTACTATGTCAGTAATTCAAGGAATTATCAGTCTTTAAATATAACAATATGTTTTTTTATTTACAGTTGGTTTTATAAGGATGTTACATCACAGCATTGTGAATACATTCTCAGCGAGGTGGGAATAGATGGATGCTTTATTGTACATAAAGCAGATTATTCACCTTACGTGTTATTGTTATTCAGCGAAGATAGGTAGTTATTTCATGATTATTTCTTATTTTTTAACGTCGTATTAATGCAGAATACCTCCAGAGAATAACTTTGTACCAATATTTGAAAAAATTCTTCTCAAATACATATAAAAATTGAATAAAATTTCAATTTTTCCATCATTTTTTATTTAAAAACAGATTTTCTACCACCGGGATTCAACTTCATTTTCAAAACTTCGTAATTCGTACAGTCATATAATATCACGTAATTATAGAAGACATTATCGAGATCCGTGATCCGGGACACAAAGGACCGATCCGTGATTGTGTCAGATGTAATTGGGGAACGAACGTCAACTGCAAAAGTTTTGATTTGTTTTTGGTTTTTGTGGCTTTAAATTTAAGTAGTTACATCATATATAAAAAAATGACAGGACTTGAGTTAAAGCTACAGCCTACACCTTAAATTACTTTAGAAGACGATCCCGGATCACGTCCAGCTATTGCTGTGACACGTTATCGTGTTGAATAAAATATATTTTCATTTTATATCGGCTACTGCTTAAGTAACTTATTGAAAGAAAACACGTTTTACTGACGATTCTTGTCAACTTTCTTCCTTTTTATTCAACAACATTAGACTTGAATTAGACTTAAAGTTTCATTTCATTTTTTTTATCATTTTACCATTAAAAACGGTGTTGGTTCCTTTGATTGCATACTTGTTAATATATTTTGTGAGCAGGTTTAATTAATGAAAATACAGCGATATTTGTATTAATACATTGATTAATCTTGTTGAAAATGTACAAGTACAGTGGAATGTGTCAGAAATATACTAATGTATCTTTTAAGTTAACACATTTCATTGATCGATGGTCTTTTATAATAGTATTAATAGTTTTCAAATGCTCTATTATGTTTTGCTCTATATTTTATAATGTTGTTTAGCTCAGAGGCAAAATTAGAATAGAACGTTCATGTTTAATGACTTTTAAGCAACACTCCAGTTTAAAAAAAAACATTGCTGTATTCTTTATACAGATATTGAGTTTGCAGAAATTTATTTGACACATTTGAACTATGGTATAAATGTACCTTTAAGTAGTGTTTAAGACGTTTAATCATGCGATTTAAAGATTTTAAACATAACTTGTTAAAAAGTCAAATTTGTCGAACACACACTATGATAAGTTTAATCTTTAAATGGAATTCTTAACAACCATGAAACATGTTTTTTCCTCTATTTATTTTCTAGCACTGGTGGACAAGTGTATCGGTACCCTATCAACCTGAAAAATAAATACTTTTTTTTGAATCCACAAACACTGTTTGTGTCAATTCCTGATCTCATACGCTACCATTATAAACGAGCCGGCTGTTTACGTACATTTTTGAAATGTCCACCATCATTGAAGTATAAGGTAACCCAGGACTTTCCTCGTAAGTACATGTTTAATCTTTCACATTTTTTTGCAATTAAATACATTGTACCTGTGAAACAGGTACAAGGATTTTTTTGCCGGACAACATCATTTTCTTTATATCTTTCTATTATTGTTATACTTGTTATTATTAAAGATAATTTTCTTGTTACGAAAACTAGTAACAAATTAAACCATGATTTTATCTGGTTACAAGTTTCACGTGACCGATTGTTTGTTTGAGGGCAAAGCCACATATAATAGTATTAATATACCTAAGCCGCTTTTGAGGCTCGAAATGTATTTCTAAGCTGTTTGTCAACTAATCAAAATGGCTGTCTTGTGTAATGTGTCGATCGTACAAATTGACGGAAAGGGAGGCAACCGTCCTGCAAAAAGTTGATTAAGATACTACACCTCTAATGTATTATCTCCACTTTGAAGAGTATTCAAATAGGCTAAAATCACTGTCAAGTGCATTGAAACTGAGGGGCGTGGGTTCAAGCCCAAGAAGGGCAACTTTTTCTTTCTTTCTTTTTACGATTTTTATGTATCTATGAGATCCCTTATAGAAGAAAAAAAATGTTTTGATTTAATTTTACAATATTATTTGGTTTTTATTTGCTAAATAATGCCAAAATTTAATAAAAAATATGATACCAGATATTTTCAAAATTTAATAAAAAAAAACTACACGGTAAAAGTATTATTTTATTTTGCAGGACCAACCAATATACATTTAAGAAAATTTAGGCAATTTTTGAAAATAGCCCCTTATTGTGGTAAATTTTAGGGATATTTTGAATAAAGCTTTTTACATAGGGAAATGGTCAAATAATTGTTTAAAGTGGGTGGGGAAGGGTTACATTTTTATACATATTTAAAAGATTTCGTTTAGAAACAACCATTTTGCTCGATTAATTTGTTACCTGAATGCCATTATTTGTTTAACAATGAGCAATAGGAAAACATTATTCATAATGATGATATTATAGATTATTTAAAAATACCTCATTTCTTAAAAAATCCCTTCTGATGGCAAAATTTTAGTTTAGAAAAATGTCCATAACTCAAAAACCACACGGTAAAGTAAGGTGACATTTAAGGCATATTAATGTTGTCAAGTTTATAGAGCCCATTAGAGGTGTACACTACCTTAATATTGTTAAAATGAAAAAATGTCGATTTTGAGGTAGAACTTGAATCTGAACGTTTATCGCCGACACAGCAGTCGGAATTTGCAGACGACGGTAAATCAACCTCGATTTATACCCAGTACTAATGTAGACATTGACGCATTTATTTTTCGGAAAAGTATTCTTAATATATGGTCAAACTCATAGTTTGATATAAAAAAATTAAACAATTTCTTCAGCATTCTGAAATTAACGAATGTCTGAAAATTCAAGATATTTTCAATGTGACAAAAACTTGTTACATGGCAAACTACAAAGCACACTTTGACGCTTGTGCAACTTTGATGGTTGGAATGAAAATGAGCGTTTATACGCTGCAGTACTTATGATTTTTGAGAGAAAGGGGTACTGTGAAGAGTGTTCTCTTCGGCTTATATCTAAAATCATCATATTATTATGATATTTAGTGTTTTTAAACCTATATTGCCAATATATTAATTGGTAACAAAAATGTAATTTTGTGTTTAGACAAAAAGTTTAATATTTTATAAACTAGTGAACAAAACATAAAGAATTGTTTAAATTTAACAAGTTTTTAACCATCATTTAATGAAATAAACATATTTCACAATTTGTAAAATATCAGGACAATTCGTCCTTAAAATCATTCGAACTCAGTGTCATTCATACAAACATTTCGATCCAATATATCTTGGATGCTTGATTTCATCAACTTCAGTAAACGATCATTAAATATAACTACTTTTTTGGGTATAAATAGAGCTCAATGCTGCGGACAGTCAGTCTCTGCCCAGCAGCAAGTGAAAACAGCTGATAAGAAATTAATTAAAATTTCAGATTTGTTGCTTGGATTCTTGCACTATTTACGAAGTCGATCAAAAGCATCACTTTATCATTGCGTTAAGTGTAATTGTTAGTACTAATGTAATGAAACTAGTTAACCAAGCGTTTTTTTGTATTTTCAAAACCCTGAAAATTATACAGAGTATCAAGTAAAACATATTATGTGAAGGCACGTTACTGTTATAAACACTATTAATTTAAATTTGATTGAAACAAATAATTTTCTAATCATTTGTGACCAATCAACTGGCAAAGAAGACGTAAGAAAAAATATATTTACATGTATAGCATCTATCCCGTGCACGTTGCAATCGTACCATCGTGTCATCATCATCGTGTCATCGTACTATCTCGTTTGTACCATCGTTCAACGCTAGAGTGGACGAAATGAAAATTCACGATTGTTCAATATTACCACCGTAGAATTTCCTCAATGTTGCAATTTTCTGTAAATTATTGGAAGTGCATGATTTTTGAAATATCAACATTAGCCCTTCTCTGTATAGTTTTGTCACTGAGGGTTTAAGGACATTTCCCTGTGAAATATACTGAAATAAGCCTCCAAAAATGTACCTAAATTTGTGCATTATATATATGTTAGTTCAAAATGTCCAAAATATTTGGGTTAGTGAATATTTACTCCATCAAATTATAAACAAAATGACTCCGCCATAAAAGCGGTAGTTGATTGGTTGTATGGAGAAATGTTGACATAGTTCTCTTCTTATAGTTTCACCATTGGCACGTCGTCCTGATAAGACAGGGATACAACATCCAATTTACCTCTGAACTTTTTATTACTAAGTTTTCGACTTGAAAAATAATCAACAAAATTTGGGTTTATACGCATAAGAAGGTATTTTTTTTGAAAATAGGAGCAATTGTAGTTGGCAAATAATGTTGAACACTGAATGACAATTTGCTCGATGAAGATAAGTTATTGTGCAAAACGTAAAATATGACGTTTCATAAAACAAGGCCTCTAGAAGTGAAAATGGAAAAAAAATCATCTTCTGACCCTGCTGCGGAATTCCGTATTTTGCTGTTCTATTTCCGACCCTACCGGATATTTCGCTTACTTTAATGAAACAAAGAAAAGAAAAAAATTACAGGGCGTTGACGCTTGAAAATAAACAATACATTTACTCTTTCGATTTATGAATTTGATCAAACAAAATAAAATTCTAGCAGGAATTGCCATTCAGCGGAGACTTTGATTGCGTATATAAGAAATAGTTTCGATTGAATGAATGAATGAATAAATAATGAATGAATGAATGAATGAATGAATAAATGAAGAACGCCTTAAAATGAGAACGCCGCCTTTCCTAATCGATTTTGTTTATCATATTTTATATGTAAATTAATATTTTCGAATTAAGAAAAAGATTTTAATTAGGTAATGAGACAATATTGAAAACGGAAATGCAAAAAAAAAATAATAAAAAAAAAATAGGCAAAATAAATAAAAAAAAGATATTTCTTAATCTTATTAACAAAGCAAAAGCATGTTTATTCACATTGTGATTTACATACTTTACACGATACTGTCACAATGGTTTATGATTATTATGACTGATACACTGGTTTTTTCAAACTTAATCTTGAATCTTATTTGAATATTTTTGTCATTTGTCATAATGCGAGCCCGATATAAATAATCTTACAAACAATTCACCTATGTCCAGCTTTTTCATAATATTCCATCCCCATGTATCATAATGCGCATGTTATATATGATCAAGAATATAATACACACTACTTGATTACGTATTCACTTCAATACCATAAAATCAAACCGACAATTTATTACGTAATGGCATTAATAATCCAAAATGAACGGCGTGCATGCGCAGTAAGTGACGCTAAATCATCCCATAAATTACTCATATAGTGTAACGTTTACATTTAGCACGTTTTAACCGAGTCTACATTTTTTATTTTATTTTGTAGTGATTTATGCTTTTTAGGGATATCTATTTATCCAGTTTTTACACTATATTTTTACAGCGCAAAAGACGTTATGTTAAAAATTATGCACGGCCGAGCAATAGAAGATTTTACGGTGTGATTATAGCGCATACCATAAAAGCTATGTCTACTACTATTTTATGTAAAACTTTGACGTCATTTAACTTAGACAAGTTTAAAATATTCAAAGTAGACACAATCTACTTAATTTAATCTATTCTAAAACACCAATGTTAACGTCATAACAGTAATCAGAAATCCTCTTACAGACCAGTTTCATATTTAAAAAGGAAAGAATAGGGATCAATATGTTCCAAGGCACTGATATTTCGCTGACATATATGTTAATTGTGATAGACATGAAGATGTGTAACAGAGTGACAGGCTCATTGGGGAGAGTCAACGTGTCTTTTACCCCGTACAGTGTTGCAAGTTGACCAAAAAAAGGGAGAAAGTCGAAATATAATCATGTTTTGCTAAAAAAATTAAAACTTGTTACCGATGCTTTTTAAATGTATGCATAAGCAGTTTAATTTTTATTTACGCAGTCTCAAAACAACTCGGAAAATCTTTTTTTTTTCGTAGGCACCCGTTGTGTTTATTAAATGAGTTTAAAATTAAACGCAATGTTAAGAGAAATGGTTACATATAAACGGTTCTGAGGACAGTTTATGAGAAATAGTCATTTTCAAACTTAGGTGTTCTCATCTGATGTAAAGGTAGGACAAAAGGTAATGACCGTTTTAACCATGTTCTTTTTCTACCTTGCGTATAGTTGAAACAACCTGAGTCATGTTACTACTGTACGTTTACGGTTCTGTCTAAGTAACAATAACGATACACTTGATATTAATAGTTTCAGATAAACTGGAGGTCGAGCAAAATGACTTGGAGGTTTTTTTAAAAATTGGTCCAGGAAGATTTGGTGTGAGTTGAATTTACATTTAATTTAATATTTCAATTAGAAGGCATTTAAAATATTAACATTTTTCTTGTATATAATTTTTAAATTTATACATTGAATTTTCTTTTGAATTAAAAAAAGAAGATAATTTACTTTTCTTGAGTGTTACTTTGAATTTCGTTATCAACGAATTATCTTTAATTACACAATCGGCTATGTAACAGGAGCATCAAAACAAGGGGATATCTGATTTGTACGTAAGAAGAGTAGCGTCAAGTATAAATCAGACTGCCAAATCTTTTGTATTATAGGCAAAATAAAACCCTTTCCCTGATCCTTGACACATTTTCAATAGAAAGGTCTCTAAACTATAAAACAATATTGTTATATTTTACATTCATTTGAAATTCAGGTAGAAAAAAGTAAATTCTATGCGTTAAAATGTTATTTCTCAATTCTCAGGTTATACATAGATGTAAATTTGGAAGGAGAGAAATAGCAGTTGAAATTGTTGATAACATTCATAGTTTTCCTGAAGATATGTTGATGGAGGCCAGGATTATGTCGTAAGTTACTTAACTTAATTATTTGTACAAATTCATTCTTTATCATCTAAAATTAATTTTTATATCGTCAAGTACTAGAATGCATGGCATCAGATGTGTCTTTTCAAACATTTCTTAAAACATTTTTAAAAAAGTTTTGATAATAGATAGACAGTGGGATGTTGGATATTCTTGTTTTACGTTTTTCCTTGATTTTTTTTTCAGTCATTTAAATCATCCAAATTTGGTACAGTTATATGGCATAGTTTCCAAATCTTTACCGTTTATGAAAATAACAGAGTTCATGCAGAATGGTTTGTGCTTAAGTTTTGTTTTATCGTTTTTGAATAGAATTTGTTGTAATCAATAAATTACATTTTTCCTCGGACAAGATAAACATAAAATTGTCGTTGCATCACATATGTTGGCTTTAAGAAAGAAAATAGTGTATCATCAATTGTGTATTTGATATCTATATCTCATTATTTTAAGTCACCAGAACACAAAGTGCTCAATGTGAACTATTTACATTCATATCACCCCGTGTCTGGCACTGGTTTTTCTAATTTTTACTTCCCGCTTGGCCAATGCAGCAACAGCGAAAATTAGAAATAAACCTTTAAAAGACTCTTCCTTTTTAAGCACTAGAAAGATTTCAATTAAACCATACAGTATAAATATATAATAAAAAAGATATGTTTAATGCCGCAGTCCCAAACATTATTTATGGTTTTGTATTCATTTTGTTCCTTTACAATTTACAAAATGACTTAAAGTAAAAAGTGGTCATTGATTTTAAGATTTTTTTCATCTTGAACAAATGCATGCGCGTGGGGCGTATACTTTCCTTTGACAAGTTCAGCAAGTTTTCCAGCAACTTAAAACATCGACTATGTGTAGGAAATCTTATAACATTCTTATAAAACATCTACAGATAAATATTGTCAAGCTGTAAAAATATAAAACACCTTTAAAGTAACATTATGCCCATACAAGGGTATATAGTGAGTGAACGGATGAAGATCAAAATAAGTTTTCATTTTGCCATAATTTGTTTCAATTTAATAATTTAGTTTGCATAAACAATAAATAACACACAGATTCAAACGAAATTTCTGTAAATATCCATTAGAATTCAACTGCAACGCTTAGTTTCTAATTAGAGTGAGGCAGTCTTTTTTAATCTAAGGCAGATTTATGATTTTATCCTAAACATTTTCCAATATCAATTGTTGGTCAAACACCCTTTTGACAGTCAATCTTTTGAAATATAAAGTCAATTCAGCTCAACTTGACTATAAAAATTTGAGCATAACGTCACTTTAACATAAATAACAATTTGTGTTTATTATTTTCTTGTCTGCACCGGAATATGAACCCCAGACTAAAAAGCTTGGTGCGTACTTTTGTGAAATAGTTGTGCATTGCACATGAATAAACGCAAATGAAAAAGAAATCATTTCATTTTTTGTGTGTGTTTCATTTCCTTTTTTTTTTGGTTATTTTCTTGTCCAAAAAAGTCAATGTTACAAGATTATTCTGTAAGAATCTTTAATATCTCAAGAAAGCTCTGGTATTTGCGTTTTGATGACTGTATTTCCTGATCGATATGTTGTTAGTATTTTATTTTAAATTATTCTTCAATTATTTTAATTTCATTTAATCTCTATATGTTATTATTTGAAATAATACATCCCAATCATATAACTTCAGGAAACTTATACAGTTTTCTTAAAGCAAATAGACTCGGTCTTTTACTTGATTGTGAAGTCTTAACAGATATGTGTCGTCAGGTTTGTCGAGGGATGGAATATTTACATAACCAAGGATATATTCTTCGTAACTTATCAGCAAAAAATTGCTCGGTAGGCAAGAATGGGATCGTAAAAGTTTCAGATTTTGCTAGGGCGAGGTTAGTATGTCTACTGTATTTTTAATTGTTTTTGTACTCAAGCATGAAGGTTCATTGTTTGCAAGTACGAAATGCATGGATATTATCTTTAAAATGTAACAATGTTATGTAATAAAACGGATAATTAAAAGAATGTCACATATTTTGATTATCGGAATTTATTTTAACTATCTCTCCTAACACTACATTATACCTTCGCATAAATACTATGGCTTTTATAAATAAAGAAATGGACAGGCCGTCGGGCAAGCGGTAAGATCGCTAATAATAGATTTTCTAGGTTTGTAACTGAAATTGTTGATGACCAAAAGTCCATATTATCCAATTCAAGCTATTGTAGCAAACTTGATTTCAACAAAATCTTATTATATTCCCCGCTTTAGATTTTATCCTTTATTTTGTGAAAAGGGTGATAATTTGACGAATCTGTTTAATACAGGAAGTGAACTTGTAAGAAAAAAAATAGAAAGATGATACCTATAAATTTGACATCCTTTAACTTAAAAAGGCAGTAAACCTTTTTACTTGTAACATTACAGGAAAGAAAAGTACATGCATTATTACTATTTCCTTGCAAATCATTGTCATACTAACCTCATAAAATTATATAAAATAAATTGAAATGAGAACACTGTCAGATTTCTTAGTGAATTTATTTATATACGGTAACTAAAAGAAAAAAGTACCTTTATATTTGATTTAAATATTTAAGTTTGTATTTGCCTTACCAGGTTTTTAGGAAAAGGAGAAACTATAACCTTTAATGCCATACAGGTTCCATGGGCACCACCCGAAGTTTATCTGTCTAGAAAAGGAGATATCAAGTCAGATATCTGGTCTTTTGGTAATTAGTCTATGTTGTAATAACATGTTTTTCAGAAAGTAGTGATAAATAATACATTTGCAGTCAGTAAATTATTGTCCGTCTGAATATATTATAATTAATCTCATCATATACGATGAAATCATATTATCTGTTACAACACACCCTGACTGTATTAAATACTTTGTTTCCGTCAGGACTGTGTTATAATATTTTATTCTTTCTTTTTTAATTCATATATAATTACTCGATATGTTTTCTTTACAAATGCTAAACTTGATTTAAGAAAACGTGAATAAATGTTGTTCTTGTGAATTGAAATGCTAGTTTGAATACAAATCAAACAAAAGCAACAGGAGCTTAGCAATAGAACCCTTCAAAATAGAAAAACAAAATGAGGCAATATTTCCTTTACGCAAAGTGACATTTAAGTTAAACATAGACAAAAATTTGTTTTATACATTTCAATAAAAAAACTGGCAGGCACATTATTCCTCAGAAATGGATATGTTCCATCTTCAGAAAGAGCAAACATGAAGTTATTAAGATAAATATAATGGCTTTAGAGCATGTAAGATGCTTAGCGTCAAATCTGAAATTGTTAGTCATCAATGTGGCAATCTATAAATAAAAGAGTATTTTGACTTCCTTCCAATATACGTAAAAGCTATAACTGCCCGAGTTACTTTGGAAACTAAACGAGGACACAAAAACTGAAAGCTGTTGTGAAATAAAAACAAAATCATATCTTCGGGACTATGAGCCTTTAAGATGAAATAAACGTATTTTAACTGTACTGGCTTTTGTAAATGGTATATGTTTTACATAAGGCAATAAAATATACACATTTGTGTCTTTGAAATCAATTTTTCAGGTGTTTTAATGTGGGAAATATTTGCGTGTGGTGATGTGCCTTTCATATATGAATGTAACCATGCTAACAGAAAGTACAAAAGTGTAAAGATTTTCCGACCTCCAAAACCGACTTCATGTCCTAATGACATAGACATGTTAATGTTGCGGTGCTGGGAATCGGTATGTTTAATAATATTGACTATCGTACATGTTAATTAACGTTGAGTATGTGAAGGATAAACATCGTGAAAAATTGGTTGTATGTTTTCGAGATTTTTACTCAATTTGCAAATCAGCATCAAAATAAGTTATGTTTTGAATTATCTTCATTTGATTATAATCAGCACATAAATAATGTTTTGCGTGTAAACATAAGTAGATCTAAACCTTAGTCAGACTGACTTAATGCAATTATATGGCGTTCAGCATTCTATGCGAGTTCTATTTGATAATTAATTTATCTTGCTTGTTAAATTTATTTTTGCTATCCAAACTTTTGTTGTCATTTTTGTTAGGAACCTTCTAAAAGACCTACATTCAAGGATTTGAAGACTCATCTTGAAGGTTTGCGCATATTTTCATTAAATAGAAATCTTTTCCGAAATAAAAAACAGAAAACTTACTTATAATGTGTCATTGCCATGTAAAAAGAAAACAAATCATATTTTCTAATCAACTTCCGTATACTTACACATATCGTACATGTAAATTATATTAAATTTGTAATATTTTGATTGACTTATAAGACGGTGTTTATTTATTATTCTTTTTTTTCTTTCTTTTTTGTATGCCGCAATTCTATATCAATCCATATATTTTTCCAGAATGTTACTTGAAGATACAGGATGATGAAGACGTTTCAGTAAGTAAAAGTCGATCGAACCAACAAGAAAATTTTTCCTTAATCACATGATCATGTTGTGCCATCTGAATATGAAACGTTTGAAATACTAACCAGAATAGAATATCCGCCTTAATGAGAACGTAAACAAAATAAACAAAACTGATTTCATTAAAGATTTTGTGGTACATCAATATAAAACGCAAATGCAATATTCCATATTTGTTTTAGATATACTCTGAATATTTTGCTAATACACAAATAATGAGTTTTAAATTTTTAATGTATCTATAAATGTTACCATTGACCAGGTACGGAAAACGCTATAGTTTTTAGCTTGCCTTCGGCAACAACATCTGCTCATGCTACCAGTGCAGACTAAAATTAGTTGGTACATCTGTATCGTCTGACCACTGACTGCACTGTTTGCTTCTACGTCAATATCTTTTCCATTTAAATGATGAAAGCTTTTGTCCAGATAATAAGATCGAGAAGTCCATTAAAGATATTTTGCGAGGTAAATGTAGCCAAAAGGTAAAAGTCGTTTGACTTCAAACAACTTTCCCTCATGGCTGCTTTTTTCGAATCCCAACAGGAACTTCCTTCATATGATGAAACTATCTAGCTAGATTATTGATCGCCACTGGAAAGGTCTATGAAGCTAGGAAGAGGTCATATGACATATACAATGCTGTGTTGGTGTGACGTAAAACCATAAAAAAAGGTTAATGCGATAAATAAAAAAGAAACGATATATATCCTTACCTTTTCATTACAGGACTCCCAACAACTTGCTGAATTAGGATTTGATCCCGTAGACAAACAACTTTTTATGCATGCATTGAAAGAAGGAAACGAATCAGATAACTTCATCAGGGTTATGATTGTTGGAAATTTTAACCAGGGTAAAACAAGCCTAACAAGAAGGCTTTTAGAGCTTCCGATGGAAAACATTGAGAGTACAGATGGTATAGATATTCATGCAGCAAATTGTGAAGACAATGTTACATGGAAAACCACTGGCTCCCATGCTGCTGAGATAAAAGGTGCACGTCGATTAGCAAACATTATAATACAAAGCATAAAAACAAATAATAATACTGAAACACTGGACGATGTCAATGAACAGGAAGACAGTATGATGCTACGAGGAGAATGCAATGATGCTGATGATAAAGATGCTGAATCATTTGAAAATGATGATACATGTAATTCTCTTGACGAAATAGTAAATCAATGCGGTATTCTAGAAGCAGGTTCAGACAAAGACTTTTCTGAAACATCTTTTTCAGAGACATCCTCGGAGGACAACAGTGAAATAGAGGAATGTTTCACATCCGGTTCAGACGTATCTGAAGACAAAGCAATCACAAACGAGCCAGACGTACACATAAAAGCAGTAGATTTGCTTTCAGAATTTACAGAAAAACTAAAAGATGAAAACTATTATGCATCAAACATAAACGACAATAGTATTAACTTCAATATTTGGGACTTTGGAGGACAGTTCATATATTATGCCACTCACCAGATTTTTCATTCAAGAGACGCAATATATCTTTTAGTTTTTGACCTAACGAAGGACCTTGATAGCATAGTAGAGGATGAAGACTTTCCAGACAGAAAGTTTAATATGAAGACATGCTTGAAATTTTGGATCATGTCAGTGCACGCTTTTGTCGGAACAAAGGACGGCAAGGAACCAAAAATAATACTTGTAGGGACACACAAGGCTGATTGCATCAGCAAAAGTGATATTGAAAAGAAGTTTGACGATGTATATGATCTCTTTATAAAATCAAAAGCTAGAAATCACATCTACAGGATGCCATTTGCTATCGAAAACACAGATCCAAACGACCCCGGTATTACTGAATTAAAGACAGCACTATTCGAAATAGGATCAGAAAAAGCTAAAGCCAGCAAGGTTCCTGCAAAATGGATTCAATTAGAAGAGGCATTAAAAGGAAACAAAGAAAATAGAAAGATTTTGAAATATGAGGATGTTCAAAACATAGACAAGTCTACAGATTTGCCTATCAATGATGAGGGTCAGTTAAAGCTTTTCCTAAAATATCACCATGCAAAAGGAACAATTGTGTACTTTGATGAGGAAAATCTTCGGGAATTTGTCGTTATTGATCCGCAATTTTTGGTGGATGCTTTTAAATGTATCATTACATCTAAACGATTTTGTAAGTGGAGATCAGATATACATGAGTTATGGGAAAAGTTGATAGAAACAGCAGTTCTAGACAAATATCTGTTGAACAGCATTTGGGAGCATGATGACAAAAACCGTTTTATGGAACATAGAGATATTCTGTTGGCTTTTTTGCAAAGACATCGAATATTGGCTGAGATGCAGGTAATTGATGAGATTACTTGTGATGCAAGAGGCACGGGGAAATACATTGTACCAAGTCTTTTGAAAAGTCAGGGTGATCAATCAATTCTGAAGAAATGTGTAGAAGGGAAAAATTATTCATTAGTCATACTTGGTCTTTCATTGGAGGATACAACGATTATCAAAACTGTATTTGAAAGAACTATTGCAGCAGCTCTCGAGAGATGGCCGCCAATAGAGATAGATGGCATATCGTTGGTATTTCAGAGTACTTCTTTCTACCTACTTGATCTTCAACATGCAGGTATCATTGCATATTCTACTGAAAGGGGAATTGAGTTAGCAGTAGTCAATCAATGCCCTCCAGCAAATGTTGAAAGTGCGGTTTGTGACCGTTTCCGTAGATTCGTAGAAACTGTCGTTTCAAACGAGTTCCGGCGTCACAACTGCAGCAGAAACGATATTCCTTTTACTTATTACCTGAAGTGCAACCATGCCGCTCATAAATGTCAAGGAAGTAAAAATGTTCATTATGGATTAGAGAACATCAAAAAGAAATATCGTGTATGCTGCCCAGATAATTCAAACCATGCAATAATTACGAAGAATGCATTAGCAGAATGGTTTCAAGATGGAACTATTATTAATAACGAAAAAGGCCTTCAAAAGATAGTCACGGAAAAGGACTTGACGAAAGTTGCCCAAACCATCGGTCAGAATTGGGAGCTATTAGGACCCATGTTAGGTGTCAGCAAAGTAGATGTTGAACGAATAAAAATGGACCATAAGCATTGTACAGAGACAGCTATTTTTTACATGTTGCACAAATGGAATATGCAATGCCCTGATCAAAATACCATGGGCGATTTGATAAATACAATGAAAGAATGTGAGGCACTCTCAGTGGATTGGGATAAAGTCAACAACATATTGGACGGGTTCTTCATGCAATAAAGGTGAAGCAGTAAAAAAGCGTTTTCAACAACAACCCAGCTCTATAAATAATAAAGTGCCCCGGATTAAAGTAAAAACAAATTATCATTTATTGTCCATTGAACCATGTGAAATTGAACAAAGAGTAATACTGAACCTCTGAACATAAAGTTTTTTTGTTGGTTACTTGTGTGATTTATACTTTACACATAATACGCATTTGTGTGTCTAAAATGTCAAGCGAATAGACTTCTTAATGTTTTTTAAATGATATGTTATTCGGAAAGGTTCTTTGTGTTATAAACTTACACGTGCTTATACGGCAATTCTACGGACGATTTTTGAACATGTGAAACTGAACAAAGAGTAATAATGAACCTCTACCACTACAAACAAAGTTTTTTTGTTGGTTACTTGTGTGATTTATACTTTACACATAATACGCATTTGTGTCTCAAATGTCAAGCGAATAGACATCTTGATGTATTTTAAATGATATGTTATTCGGAAAGGTTCTTTTTGTTATAAACTTACACGTGCTTATACGGCAATTCTACGGACGATTTTTGAACATGTGAAACTGAACAAAGAGTAATAATGAACCTCTACCACTACAAACAAAGTTTTTTGTTGGTTACGTGTGTAATTTATACTTTACACATAATGCGTATTTGTGTGAATGTCAAGCGAATAGACTTCTTGATATAGTTTCAATATGTTATTCGGAAAGTTCTTTGTGTTATCAACTTACACGTGCTTATACGGCAATTCTACGGATGTTGACTCTGATTAGTTAAGGCTAATAACAATATACAATTATGTGCTATGACACAAATACTGTAGATTTTACTTTTGTTACAGATACAAGAACGCTTTTCAATGAAATGATTCAAGTACATTTATTTACGTAAATTATTTATGACTTTTTGTTTTGTTCTTTTTGTGATTTTTATTATCTAAATCTCGATTTCATTGTTTGATATACTAGTACATGTACATGTTTGGAATGATCCAAAAGTTTTTGTTATGATTCAACTTATCATAACTTGTCTTATTTGATTGATATTATAAACAATTATTATTTTATTTATATTAAGTTACAATATTAATTATTCAACTATTGAAAGACTTCATGACTACTTTTTTGTAAACCCTATGTAAGTCGTGTTTTACGTGATTAATAATTTTATAAAATTAAGGTGTTTAAAATACGTGCATTCTTTGCTTTACTTTTTATATCCTAGTATATTATCATGACAGAACGGTCATTAGAAAAAATCCCAGAGTAAGCCTAAGAAACAGACCGTTTTAATTATAGAATAGATCGTTGAAACACAACGCTAAATTTTTTGTTTGTTCATCGACCAATATGTATCAATGTACATGTATGTATAACGTTAGACTACAAAATATGAATATATGGTCTAATCTGGGTGAGTTAGAGCTCATATTTCCAAGAATTTTACCTGTGACTAATACATTATTATAAAGGGTATTGAAACAGAGGAATGCTTGTCATTCATTACCAAATTTATAACTACAATGTTGTTTATACATATAACCATTTTTTACACCTGTTGAGTAACTTGTAAATAGATTGAAACTATACATCAATACATTTTCACCTAGCGGTCGATTATCTTTGACTATCAGTGTTGTTTATACATATTATCATTGTGTCACAAGTCGAAAAGCTTTTTAAACGACCATCAATTTTGTTTATACATAAAAACATTGTGACACCTATCAAGTAGCTTTTTAAACGACCATCAATATTGTTTATACATATAATCATGGTGTCACATGTAGCTTTTTAAAGGATGGAAATCACATATCGTCGAATAGATTTTTAAAAGATAGCTATTGTGACATCTTATTGTTTGAATTATTGTAAGTAAATACTATCTTTTTCACATTTTTAAAAAAGCTGTAACTTGACAGCGTTGATTTTGTTAATAGTTGTATTTGTTTCGGAAATATTATTGTAAACTTGCAAAAATAATCACAAACTAAAACCTTTAGTATACAAGGTATTATAATATATAAACTAAAAAAAAATATTTACTCATTAACAAATATTTTGCTTTTTTCATGAGAAATTAGAAATACCATAAATTAATATAAAAAAAAACAACATAATATGATTCTTTATGTAGAAATCACTCTCTACATGCTCTATGTAATGCTTTATATTTAATACAAGTGTCAATTCAAATATTGATTTAAAAGTCCTATAATTTTCTTCTTAGACTTTTTGTTTTCCAATACACCAAGAAGCAAATTTTTGCAGACAACTCAGTAAAATACAAGGCGTCACATTTTGATTTTCAATGTCTTTTTAATTTCAGTTTTTCCCATGAACGTTGAAAAAAAAGTCTTACAAATTGTTTCTCAGTCTTTTCGCTCCTTTTTTATTTTTCATTGAGAAGTAATTTCGGACAATGAAAATATTGAGCTTGAACTGAAATTACTAAAATTAACTTTTTTATCCTGTCTAGTGCTATGTAAGCTAGGATAAGGCGCCTAAATAACTGAAAATATGTATACCATATCCTAAATGTAAAAACAGTTTGTTTTAGTTAATTCGTTCTGAAAATCGTGTTAAGTTGAATTTTTGTGTACATGTACATTTAAAATGTTTTTGTTGTTTTAGTTTGCCTTTGAAAATGTTTTTTTTTTGTATTCATTACCTCCTTGTTTTAGTTCTGCAATCAAACGATTTGTCTTACTGAAAATATATGAGTGAATTAAAAATGTTATTTCTTAATTGCAGTGGCCTACAAGGTATAAAGAAAAAGCTGCATATATTTCAATACATAGAAGATACAAAATGAGATATTTACTGTCTTCAAGACACACGTTTTCTACACAGTCAATTTAAGACCAGTCATACTCAGTGGAATGCGGAATGTTTTTTTTTAAGTTGTTCATCTTTAAATTCTAGGGGAGTTGCAATATGTTTCTCAAAGTCACTAGATTACAATATACATAAAGATGAAGTTGATTAGTTTGGAAATCATGTCATACTGGACTTATCTGTTGGAGAAATAATATTTACTTTAGTATCGTTTTATGGACCGAACTCAGACAATCCGTCCTTTTATGAGAACATTTTCAATGTCGTTGAGAATATAAGAAATGACTCGTATTGCATTTGTGGTGATTTTAATTTGGTGCAAAATCCTGATTTTGATTATAACTACAAAAATTAACATAATAAAAATGCAAGATCAACTTTTTTGAAAGACATTAATTAAAAAGTTTAACAGATCTTTTAGGGAGCTCCAACCTGATGAAAAGCAATATACTTGTCGAAAGGCAAACCCACTGCAACAAGCTAGACTTGATTTCTTTCTTTTATCTTCTTTTATGTTACAAAACTGTAAAAATATTTTTATAAAACGCAGTTTTCAGTGTGACCATTCAATCATTATATTGCAATTAAAATTTAGTGATTCTGAGCAAGGTTAAGGGTCTGGAGCTACTCTTAGATATTCAATATGTTAATGAAATAAATAAAAACAATTGAAGACGTTTAAAAACAATATTTCATACCTGTTTATATTTCGAAACACTTGAAAGTTTTCCGAACGAGGATATACAATTTGTAATAAACGATCAGTTATTTTTAGAAACTTTATTTATGATAATAAAGAGATAATTCCGTATCCTATGGTTCTTTTAAGATAAAGCAAGTAATGAAAAGGAAACGCAGATAAAAAAAGATATTGAAATGCTGGAAAAATCAGAAACTATTCAAAATAATGAAAAACTCAAACAGCTGTTTAACGAATTGAATATTATACAAGAAAATAAGTTTAAAGGTTACATTTTAAATCAAAATTTGACTGGGTAATTGATAAGGAGAAACAAAGTACATTGTTTAGTAATCTTGAAAAAGGCAATAATGTTAATAAATGTATCACAAAATCATGCAAAACGATAGTACTTAATAACAAAACAAGAAGAAATCTTAAACGAAACCTATTATTTTTATGAATCATTATATACGTATACATGTACCTCACATGAAATAGAAGATAATAAGTTAAATTTTAAAGTTTGTTTAAGATATAAACATTCCAACATTATCAAATACAGAGTCAAAATCGATTGAGGGTAAAATCAGACTAGAAGAAGCATCTACCGTTTTAAAGAATATGAAAATAATAATAAAAGTCAAGGCTCATCTGGTTTTTCAGCAAAACTTTATAAATGTTTTTGGAACAGAATTGGCGTACTAGTTTGCAGGGCTCTGAACCATGCTTTGATATCTTGAAACTTATCTGTAACACAAATACAGGGTATAATATCATGAATTCCTAAAGGTGATAAGACTAAACAATTTAAAAAAAAAATTGCGACTGATAACATTGCTAAATACAATTTATAAAATTGGTTCTGGATGCATAGCAAATAAAACTAAAATACAAGTATATTTAGATAAACTTATTTACAGTGACCAAACAGGATTTATAAAGGGAAGATTAATATGAGAAAATATAAGACTAATTTATGATATAATGCAATATACAGAAGAAAATAACATTTCTGGGCTTTTACATTCTTTAACCAACTCCTTGATTACTAGCCGAAGCATATTACAAAAAGCAGTAAAACTATAAAACTCAGTCATAATAATTCTATGAATATTCCCCCTTGGAATTTAAAGGAATTTACACTAAACAAGCATAAACGTTTATGTATTTACATAGTACTATTTAAGAGTCATGACAAATTGCTATTTCCTGGTACTTTGGAATTTCCAGAAAATACAATGATTACAACCTTGATATATTCTGGCCATTTTCTCATTTTGATGCACTTTAAAAATTCCAGCCTCTTTTTGGTTCAATTTTGACATTTCGTTTTTTTTTTTGCAATTTCAATTTTTACAGTACACATATAGGTTATATGTCAAGACATATAGTGACAAACTCTTTTATTACTAGCTGATGTAGCTCCTCCGGATATAAATGAATGTAGCCCGATTTTTGGGGTATTCTTAAAAAGGAATTTCCCTTACACGCGTAAGAATCCCATCTCTTAACATATTCACCATTTTCTTGCAAAATCTAACTTTCATGAATTAGTATCCCCACACATCTGTATTGATTTTTCTCATTGCTAAATAACTTTCCAAAGCAGTTACTGGACAGTTAAACTTTTTATGCTCCCCTAAGGATGAGCATAAAGTCGCCGCTTTTTCCGTCCGTCCGCCCGTCTGTCCGCACTCACAGGACAGTAATTATGTGGCTAGAGGGAAAATAGGTAACTGTTCTTTCTCTTTGAGTTCATTCATTCCGTAATGCTTTTATGTGGCTTTTTTTTCTTTTGTGTGGCTAAAAAGAACAATAGAGAGAACAATAGAGTAGCCACATAATTACTGTCCTGTGAGAACGTCCGCAATTCTTGTCCGAACATAACTTTGAAACAACAAGAGGTATCAACATGAAACATTGTAGGTAGATAGATCTCATTGAGTAGAAGTTCAGTGCGAAAGAACCGTAAACCTGTCTCGGTTAATTTTGAACTTCTTGCCCTTTGTTCTTTTTTACACTTTGAACTTTGTCCGGCTCATAACTCTAAAACTATAAGAGATATCAACATGAAACTTTGTAGATAGATATATCTCATTAAGTTAAAGTGCAGTGCAAAACAACCGTAACTCTGCTTTGCTTAAGTTTGGAGGTTTTTCCTTCTGTTCATTTTACACCTTGATCTTTGTCCGGGACATAACTCTTAAAGAATAAGTGATATCAACATGAAACTTTGTAGATAGATAAATCTCATTTAGTAGAAGTGCAAGGCAAAAGGACCATAACTATGTCTTGCCTTCTTTTGAAGCTCTTGCCCTTTCTTCATTTTTACACTTTGAACTTTGTCCGGGGTATAACTGTTAAATTATAAAGGATATCAACATGAAACTTTGTAGATAGATAGATCTCATTGAGAAAAAGTGCAGTGCAAAAGAGCCGTTACTCTGCCTTGTTTGATTTTGGAGTTTTTGCCCTTTGTTCATTTTTACACTTTGAACTTTGTCCGACGCATTACTCTAAAACTATAAGAGATATCAACATGAAACTTTGTAGAAAGATAGATCTCATTATGTTAAAGTGCAGTGCAAAACAACAGTAACTCTGCCTTGCTTAAGTTTGGAGGTTTTTCCTTCCGTTCATTTTAAACCTAGATCTTTGTCCGGGACATAACTCTTAAAGAATAAGTGATATCAACATGAAACTTTGTAGATAGATAGATCCCATTCAGTAGAAGTGCAATGCAAAAGGACCATAACTCTGTCTTGCCTACTTTTGAAGTTCTTGCCCTTTCTTCATTTTTACACTTTGAACTTTTTCCGGGGCATAACTGTTAAATTATAAAAGATATCAACATGAAACTTTGTAGGTAGATAGATCTCATTGAAAAAAGTGCAGTGCAAAAGAACCGTAACTCTGCCTTGCTTGATTTTGGAGTTTTTGCCCTTTGTTCATTTTTACACTTTGAACTTTGTTCGGAGCATAACTCTTAAACTATAAGAGATATCAACATGAAACACTGTAGGTAGATAGATCTCATTGAGAAAAAGTGCAATGCAAATAAACCATAACCCTGCCTTGACATAATTTTGGAGTTATTGCCCTTTGTTCACTGTTACACTTTGAACTTTGTCCGGGACATATCTCTGAAATCAGAAGAGGTATCAACATGAAACTTTGTAGGTAGATTGATCTTATTAAATAGAAGTGCAGTGCAAAAGAACCTTATCTTTGTTTTGCTTGGTTTTGGAGTTATTACCCTTTGATTATTTTTACACTTTGAACATTGTCCAGGACAACAAAAAGTTCTCGGCCCGATATACTTCTAGCCACTACACTGACATTTACAAACAATACGTCGAAAACGATATCTTATTGAAGATTACTGACCGAGTAACTCGAACTTTTACACATATTACATAACATAAAACACACTTTGATCAGTAGAGGTGTGTGTCATTTAGACCAAATGGAGAAAGTTGAAATCAGAGCCGTCATTAAGTAACAAAGGGATGTCCTCCAAGGAAATTCATGAAGACTTCATGCATACACTTAAGAAGGAGTCCCCTTCCTATAACACTGTTAAAAAATGGGCTGCTGAATTTAAGATGGGCAGAGAGAGCATTGAAGATGATGGGCGGCCTGGGCAGCCAAAAGAGGCCATCAACGATGAAACTGCCGAAAGTGTGCACGATCTGGTCATGTGCGACAGAAGGCGAGACCTGCGAAGCATTGCTTGGGAAGTGAGTAAAAGCTTTGATTCAGTTCAGGCAATTCTGACTGATGTCATTGGCATGTCAAAGGTTTCCGCTAGATGGGTCCCCATCAATCTTTTGAAATAGTCAGCGGATAATCATGATTGACTATCTTGAGCAAGGTCGTACCATAAACGGTACATACTATGCAAACGAATTGAGACGAAAATCGCGCGTATAAGGAAGGGCAAACTGATTCAAGGCCTAATGCTACTGCACGACAATGCACCAGCTCACACACACCAAAAATTTGATAAACAAGATCAACAAGGATAGGCGGCGTTCAATGAACGCAAGTTGCGATGGCTGCTGCAAATTGCTGCTGCTTTGAAATTCTTCCCCATCTCCCATATTTACCGGACTTAGCTCTCTCTGACTTCTACCTTTTTCCGAAAGTGAAATGTGATAAACAAGATCAACAAGGAAAGGCAGCGTTCAATGAACATAACCCCCACATGATCCAGCATCAATAGCAAGTGGCAAGGAGCCGAGGAGGACCCCAAACAAAAACAGGACATGGCACAAGGCAGAGCATGGGCACGTTAATTACTAAAATCGTACATAAGAAAAAATGATAAGTAACTGATAAGGAACTCAAAGAAAACAAATAAATGATTGAATAATAGGCCCCTAAATTCAAAGGGCACAGGCGACCCGAGGAAGGGGGGGGGGTAAAAAAAGGAAATAAAAACTAGGGGCAAAGGGGAGATACTTACCTTAGACGAGAAAACAATAAGGGACAAAAAAGTGTCACCAAAACAGTATGAAACAACAAAGACATATATCTGAGGAACACAGACGGGCGCCGCCTTGGAACGGTCAGCAGCATAAATACTGCCGGGGAGAACCTACTACTGAAAACCTAGCTTCGTGGTAGACGTTTGTGAAGCATTGATGGTTTCATGGAGGCGGTCAATGAGTTCTTTGAGGACCAAAATATAGTTTTAATTTGAAGGGTTGAACAAGTTATGGCACAGGTGGGCAAAGTGAATTGATGTAGAGGGAAATTATATTGAAAAGTAAGACCATTAGTTGGGTTCTCTG